AAGAAAAAAAAACAAATGATTACAAAATATCATTTTCTTTAAATGGATTTCTTAAAGACATAAATTCATCACTATCAGCCATATTATTGATCTCTTCAAGTGTCAATGTCTTCGATTTCCAACATGGCCTATAAATTCAAAAAAAGAAAAAATAATACACGTGAAATTCACAATAAGTTTTCTTTTTTGTTATCAGAAAATAAAATTTACCAAGTAACACCTATTCGATCGATATCATGAACTGTTTCAGGCAATGGTTTATTCACTGTTTCTGGACATATTGTTGCAAAAACTACAGTAATAAGAGAAGTTGTACCAAACACAACAATTGGAAAATGGACCCATATTCGAGCCTTAATAAATCCATTGAATATTAACAAAATAAGAAACTCAATCACATACTAAAAGATCATTCGATAATGTTCCAATGATAGCTCCAAAACGAGCAACCATTGAACACATTCCAATTCCTGTGTTTCGACCTTGTGTAGGAAATAATTCATTGGCATATATATATATAATAGCATAAGATCCAGATGCAAGAAATTTTAAAATAACATTTATTATAAACATAAGAATATATTTTTCTAAAGACCTCAAAAATTAATGGTTTTTTTTCTCTAATTTTAAATATAGTTCAATACCTGGACTATCTTTTGGCATCAACATTTGAATAGGTACAACAAAGAATGCAAAAAGTCCAAATAAAAATACAAATGTACAATACGGTATTTTACGACCCCATCGATTAAGTACAAGATGAACAACAACATAAGCTGCAAGTTCTACTAAAGCACCAGCAAAAAATGCTATATATGGATTAGCTAACCATGCACCTAAAAGCATTACTTTTGGTTAAAAGTTTATCCAATTATTAGTCTTACCAGTATTTTGCGAAACACCATAGAAAACAAGATTTTGTACAAACCTATTATATACAGAAAGTTGTCAAACAAAAAAAAAACAAAAGTTTAAGTATAAAATTACCATTGCAATGACATATTAATTGCAATGATAATCATAATTTTTGATTGCAATAAAGTTTTTAAACCATGAAATTTCTTTGGATACAATGCTTCTCTCTAAAGTTTTAATAGATTTTGTTTTGAAAAAAATTTTTCTTTTTTAATTACTTTTTTTTCTTCATTTATTAAATGACCATATGCGTTTGAATCGAAGAAACATCCATTTACTTTAGCTATTCGACGAAGAATTCTTTCTGCATGTTCATAATGACCTTTGGAAATAAGCCAACGTGGACTTTCTGGAATCACACTAAAACATTTATCAAAAATTAAAAAAAACGAAGTCAAACATATGATTTTATCAAATTTACAAATAAAAGAAAAGAAATGGTATTGATAATATAGCTAAAGCTGTATTTAATAATTGCCATGATCGAATCATATAAGCAAATCCTAAAAGAACTAATTCACCACCAGCAAAGAAATATTCAATAACAATGCCAGTAAATAGACGTTGTTTTGGTCCGACTATTTATAGAATATATATATCCCCCCGGTCATGAAAAACCGAAAGACTTGTTTCTTTGATTTCTCTATGATGGAACATTTTTTAGGACCCATATTTATACCACAGATAGACCTTGTGTTACTCTATCTGCTGGCAAAGTTTCAGCCATATACATCGAGTATTGGCGGAGAAAACGAAAAATCAATCTTACACACTCATATGCAGTTGCGCCAAACACTTGTAACTATGCTTATGTTTTCTATATTTCTTGTTTGATTCTGACTTGGTAAGTATTGATTAGTTATCTTCTAATCATCATTTACGAATGGTGACATCTTCCTATTACGCGTACATCACGCGTAATACGAAGATGTCACGATTCGTAAATGATGATTAGAAGATAACTAATCAATACTTACCAAGTCAGAATCAAACAAGAAATATAGAAAACATAAGCATAGTTACAAGTGTTTGGCGCAACTGCATATGAGTGTGTAAGATTGATTTTTCGTTTTCTCCGCCAATACTCGATGTATATGGCTGAAACTTTGCCAGCAGATAGAGTAACGCAATGTCTATCTGTGGTATAAATATGGGACCTAAAAGATGTTCCATCATAGAGAAATCAAAAAAACAAGCCTTTCGGTTTTTCATGACCGGGGGGATATATATAAATACAACATTATAAAATATAATTAATATATATCAACTAACCAATTTCAACACCTAAAATAAAAAAAATTTCAATTAAAAACATATATAAACAGGAAGAATGCATACCAATAACAAAACCTGTAAGACCAACACCACGTATTGCACAAGCAAGTAAAAATCGACCAAGTACAAAAAATGCATAACTTATTTCAAATCCAAGTTTTGAATGAGGTGCAAATGCACACATAAAACTTGCAAGAGTTATTACAACAAATGAAGCACCCATTATAGGTCGTCGACCAAATCTTTACAAAAACAAAAATTATATTTAATTTAAAATCAAATTTCATCAACATACTTATCAGATAGAATACCAAATACGAGTGAACCAACCATATAACCAAGAAAGAAAATCATTTGAACAAAACTTTTAAGAGATACTCGATTACAAACCATATACCACTACAAAATAAAACAAATGGTAAAAAGTTTATATTTAATAAATAAAATTTTCGATAAAACTAAACCTCTTCAACAAGTGTTGATTGATAATATGTTCGATCAAAAATAAAATTAGTACAAGGTTTCATATGTGTATCATCATAATCAGTTTCATTAGTTAGTTGAAAACATCTTTGACATTCAGCTAAAGATATTTTATTTTGATATTGACGACATTGAGATTCGTTTGGTTTATAATGTTGTAGAATTTCATTAGTTATTGAAATTCCAGATATATCATCCATTGCTGTTCGACAACGAAAAGAAGGTGTAGCTGCAGTAAATGACCAAGTATAAACCATTATTGGAGGAAACATATATGTTAAACATATTAAAAAATATTTGATCTTTTGATATCGACCAAATGATCCTATAGTTTTATAGAAATCATCGAATTGCATTATTTTCTTCTACCTTTTTCTTTTGCTTCTTCACTTTTTACCGAATTTCTTTTTGAATCTATGTTAATAATATCACTATTATGTTATTAGGCAACGTAGGTTATAAATCATATTCAGATAGTTGATATATTCTACTTATAACCTTCATGTAAAACATCCGCATCACTCAAAAATCACGCTATTTTTGTTGTTTTATTGCATTTGCTCTTTGGACTTGGTTGTTTTTACTTTATCATATTAATACTCCTGATAGTGGCAAAGAAATTGTAAGAAAAAAAAACAAAATGGTTGGGTATAGTTTCTGTTCCACTCAGTGCCCTATAATGAATAACGATCGAAAGAACGAAAGAGGAGCATACGAAACTGTCTTCGTGCTGAAATGTGGTGTGAACCTCAGATTTCAAGCTGTTTGGGACACATGAAATTGCATTGATTTAGTGAAACGAAAAAAAAATTGGCACATTTGCTAAGTTTAAAAATAAAAATCTTCATACGTCATCGAAAGTGAAAAGCAATATTAATTGTTTATTTTTTTCTCTTATTTAGAAATTCTTTTGATTAACGTGTTCGTGTTCTCAAATAGATTATTCTGTGAATCATTTAAAACAATGAAAACTTGTACGAGATAGACAAATAAGAAATTCAAGTGTTTTGAGTTGTTTTATTTATCTGACACATTTTGTTTTTTTTTTGGAGATATTTAGATAGACTATTGCCAACAGCTGGGCCCTTTTTAATTTTCTTCAATATGTTGCATCATTAATCTTCAAAACAAAGAAAGCCACTCCATTGATGATGTATTTTATCTATTCATTTTCTTTTGACTAAATCAATAGATGGCATTATATCCTTTTTGTTTTTCTTCTTTGCTGATACCAATCTCAGATTAGTGTCAAAATACGACGACTACCGATCGCTACAACTGAACAGAATTCTGTTTTTCAAATTCTTCTTTGATCAATTTTTGGTATCAGATTTTTTCGAAAAGCTTAAAAAAAAAGGATACTCTTGTAGAGAGAGATTCATTTTTCTCAAAAAATAAATCACAATAAAGAAGTTGACTTTATTAAATTATGGAACGCAATTTTTTTTCATTTTAAAACCTTTCTGATGAGGAAAGATCCTCAAGTGTTCAATCGCTTTTGAGTTCGGACCCTGTGTATAAGGTAGATCCCAGTGAGGTATGAAAAACCTCAAAAGGATAATGACAGTTAGGCCTTCTGTCCAGAGTTATACGGATTTTACTGGAATTTCAGCCTATGGCGTGGTATTTACCAACAAATAGAATGATGATAGTTCGGGTTGAGATTTTGCCCATAGACAGGTCTAGTTGTGAGTAGAACGCCCTGAAAATTTGAGCTCAAAAGAATGTTTTCTTTCCCAGATATTAAAGTCCAAAAAAATCACTCATTTCTCACGAAAGATGCTAGAATTTTCTGTTTTTTGGACTTTAATATCTCGATAAGGAAACGTTCTTTTGAGCTGAAATTTTCAGAGCATTCTACTCATAATTAGACCTGTCTATTGGCAAAATCTCAACCCGAACTATCATCATTCTATTTGCTGGTAAATACCACGCCATAGGCTGAAATTCCAGTAAAATCCGTATAACTCTGGACAGAAGGCCTAACTGCCGGTATCCTTTTGAGATTTTTCATAGCTCACTGGGGTCTACCTTATGCACAGGGTCCGAACTCAAAAGCGATTGAACAGTTGGGGACCTTTCCTCGTGAGCTTCCTAGCATTACCAAAGAAAATGAAGTTGTTACTTGTAATCTACGAATAATATTTTTGTTATTCTTTTCTTTTCCTTCTAACTGAAAAGAAAAGTTTATTTGTGTCGTTTTGAATAAAGGTTCGAATATAAAAAAAATATCAAAAATTAGATATTACTGACTGTACTCCTTTATTAATGAGATGATCATTTAAAAATAAATGAATACAACATTATTTTTAAAGAAAGCGCCAAAATTAATTAGAATCTATAAAATTTGAATATTTTTTAATATTTTGATATAAATTCGATGGACGTTTTATAGGTTGTTGATGTCGTTGATTCATTCTTTCATATGCATCTTTATAAACTGCTTTTGAATAACGTTTCCATACTTCATTTCTATGATAGGATTTATAAAAATCTGAATCCGATTGAAATGGAATTTCAGCTCGACGAATATTTTGTTTATATTGATCAGTTGCAATACGTACAAATGATGATTTAAGTAAAAGTAAACATTCACATTTATTACTAACTAATGTTAAAGCTGATTGATTTGGAAAAAGCATATCATTTAAACCCTAAGAACAAAAAAAAACAACGAAAATTGAAAAAAAAAAGATTTAGTTAAAACTTACAAAATGTTGACCTTCATTTAATGTTTTAATATGTATATAAGTTGTTTTACTAGGAAATATTAATTTTGATTGTTTATTTATCTAAAACAATTCAATATTTATTAATATTAACAAGCTTATTTTTAATTATTACTGTTGGTCGTTTAGGTTTTGGTATTTCATCTGTTAATGGTAAAGTTGGTTCAGTATTATTTTGATTCATTAATAATTCATCATAATCAATTAATTGTAATCTTTCTCGTTTATCCGAAACTCCAGGAAATTTCTTTTTGTAATAAAATAGAAAAGAAAAACAAATATAACTTTATATCAAAAGAAGAAGAAGTAGTTTTATTACTCTTTCAAAATTAAAAGTACTCTCGGATCTTTTTATTAAACCTGCTGATGTTTTTCCATCAATAGTTTTTGAACGACGTAAACGACTTAAACGAGAATCTGTATCAAGAGTTGTTCCAGTTGTTTCATCAATACCACCACTAAGTTGAATTTCTGAAAATAATGCATTATCATCTGCTGTTGCTTCATGAATATCATCATCATTATCATCAACCACTAAAACAAAAAAATTTTCATATATTTAATTCCTCTTTTTTTTTTGTTTTTATTCAAAATAAAAATTACTAAACTTTTTTCATTTTTTATTTGATCTAAATCATGTTTACTTAATTTTGGAATATAACCATTAGGTTCAAGACGTTTCCATATTGCAAGTGAACCACTTTTGACAATAAATATATGTCTTATAAGACGACTATCTTGAGCAATTACTTCTGATTGTCTAAAATCAATAATTAATGAAAATAATAAAATACTAATCTTCAAATATAAATTAAATGATACCCATAATTACAATGTTGTATTGCATGTGGAAATTCATTTAATTGATCTATTGAAAAGCCACGTAGAAATGGTACATTATTTCTGTTGATAAAAAAAATTTTTTATGTTAAAATATTCTTTTTTTGTTTTTTTTAGTTTTACTTGAGAAATTTTAAATCATCTTTACTACAATATCGATCGTCCGTCATATAAATTGCTTTGAAATCCTATGAATAGAAAAGAAAAAAAAAACACATAATAATTAATTATTTCTGGATTTTTCTTTTTTCTTTTTTTTCTAAATTAATCATGCAATCCTACTTACATCTTTCCATAGAACCAATAATTCAAGTTTTGTTTTTGATGTAACAGTAAATTGTTGTCGAGAATCTGTCATTATTCCTTTTTCCTATAAGAAATTATTCTTCTGTTTTGTTTTTTCTTAATATATTAAATATTATTAAAAATCTTACTCCAAATGTAGATCCTCTATGTAGAATAGCTAATGTTTCAATATGACTATCAGCTACTCTTCTATATGTTATAATTGCTGAACCAGATAAAATAATATAGAAACATGCAGGACGATCACCTTGTCGAACAATTGTACGTTGTTCAGGATAACTAAAGATAATTATGATTATAATTATAAATAATAGACAGATGAAAAAATAAAAAAAGAATCATTTACCATTCATACCATGCTTCTTGTAAGATTTTATTTTGTAATGATTTTAATAATCGTGAAAATGGTTTTATATCAGATAAACAGCGTTGAAGCTTAATATAGAAATTAAACTAGTTATTTGCAGAAATAATTTACTCATCAAAGTGATAAAAGAAAATATTTTTAAAATAAAAAATAATATGTAGAAGATATTCAAGAAACCAAAATTAAAAACAGTTCATTTAACTTCTCAAAATTTTCAGTAAGCCTTCGTTCTATATATAATTAACCTTTTTTTTGTTTGTTTGAAAGAGCACGTCAAGATGCAAGGTGTATAGGAGCCATGGTTTTTTTAATCAGAGAAAAAAGATTGAAAAATTCAATGTTTCGAAAAGCTTTCAAAAATGATGCTCTAATTATACAAAATACTCTTTTATATAATAATTTTGATGCTTAATTAAAAGAAGGTACTGTGTTATGCCTTGCATTTTGACATGCTCTTTCAAACATTACAATGAAGCTTCTTCAAAACTTTCACAAAAAAAAAAAAGAAATGCCAAATAAAATGTCATTGCTTTTATGAAAGATCAAACTTCGAGTTATTTGAAGAGATCTAGAAGAGACCAGCAAAGCTTATTTTCATATTTCAATTTAGAATTTCGCACTAAGATTATGTATTAACCATATTAGTTTGCTGTAAAAATTTTAGGTCTGCTGATTCGCGCTTTTCCTGAAATATACTTTTACCATAGCTGTGTCTTATGGTAGTAAAAATGAAAAGATTAGAAACTTTATCAAATAATCAATTGAAGAATTTCCCTCGAAAGCATGTAAACAAAAACAAAAAAAATTTTGACATTGTTAACATCCAATTTTACCTAAATATGGCACTGTTTCTACACAGCATGTTAGAAGCTTGGAAAGGTTTTCCAAGTTTAACGTTCTCGAATATAACAATAATAAATATTGGTGTAACTTTGTTGGATTATGGTACTAAATTACTACACAATTGGAAGTCAATAACTTTCATGATGAGAAAAATCGTCTTAATATGATAAAGTATATTAGAAGTTACACATATTCCAATAACGTTTATACACGAATATTTGAAAACTATTCGTTATTGTCGAGTGAAAGCAGCAAGATTTTTTGAATTTATACTATCTCTACGAATCATTTTCTTTCAATATACTTTCACAAAAAGTCAATAAAAAAATGTGTCCTGAGTACTTAAACAAATGATGTATGAATATTCTGATTTATTCGTGCGTTAATACGGCAAACAGATTAGGATATATTGTGCATTCATACAAAGAAAATTTTCGATTTGTAATTATATGAAGCAGACAAACATGTGTCATCATCAATTATTTGGTCAACATAGAAGGAAAACATTCTGTTGAATAAAATGTTCTATGATAGAATGTTCTTAAATATGAAAAACAAACATTCATAATTTCTTTTCTTCATTATTAAAATTATACAATGAATAGAATTTATTTATAATAATAATAATTTATTAGATATTATTGATAAACATGAACTTTATTTTGATAATAGAAAAACACTCCAAAGTTACATCAATAAATTATATTTATTATGCTTTTTTTTTTTTTATTGACTTTAAGTTTCCGATTGTTTTTTGCTAACAACAGTCTATAAATGAATAATAATATCAAATAAAGACAAAATAAAAATCTCTCATATTTTATTCTGTTTTATAAAGTTTAATAAATGTTTGTTTCTTTTTTTCTTTTACCCTTTCTGACTATCAAAGAAAAAAGTCGACCTAGATCAATCTTCTCCTATTTCTTTTCAATTTTCTTTTTTTTAACAATTTCTTATATTCATACCTCATCAATATTGGTAATAATATCACGTTCGCCTGTTGATTGTTTGAAAAAATCTCTTACAATAGGTAAAATATCACACTATAAAATAAAATTTATCTCTAAGATTTCAAATATCTAGTCTTACCGTTGAAATTTTAAAATTTGATTTATCAAACATACTGGCTTGTCTCTCATATCGATTTGAAACTAACATTGATGGATGATTGAACATAACAAAAAGAAAAAGTCAGTTCTCTTTTTTTGATCTTTTAGGTGAGTTACTTCCGAAAAAACAAAAAAGTGAGAAAAAAAATTGCAACACAATCGGTTTTTTTTTTCTTATACAGGAAATTTGATCTTTCCTCTCATCTTAGCTCAATTGTTGACGGCAAACATTTTGCAAGCAAAATAACATTAATACATAGAGAAAAAATAAAGAAAAAAACTAAATTATTGTGATCGTTCGACAAAACATAAATATTAAATTTATACGAGAAAGAAGTTAAATATTGAATGAATATTTAAACTTAATCACAATAGAGTTTTTTTTTTATCAAAGATTTCTAATATTGATATAGAACAAAATCGTATTATATGTAAAATTCTTTTTAAATGAGATTTTATTTTTCTATTAGGATTTATTGGGAAGCTTATAACTTGTTGTAATGTTTTATGTTTAAAATTATTAGTTAACAAGAAGATACTATTAACAACAACTAGTTTCTCAATTCAAGAAGAGAACAAAAAAACTTCTGTTAATGAATATGCATACATATAGTTCAGTTCCTGAGTTAGTTTTTTTTTTTTTTTTGATAGAGAGTTACCAATAAACAAGCAAGATAAATTCGTATTAACCTCGATAACTTCTATTGAAGGATATGGTTATGAAAATTGAAAACACTGTGTGTTCTATGATCATCTCAAATCATTGGACGTGACTCTATCTTGTTGTAATTATTACAATGTCTTAACAGTTGAACTAAAAATTGTTCTATGTATTTGAGATTTTTATCAGTAAAGTAAAGGTTACAAATACTAAAGATTTATTCAAATATATTCTTAACTCTAATAAGAATCTTTTCTTTTTTTAACACATAGAATGGTATAATTCAAAAATTTGTAGTTTCTGTTTCACTCCTATTTAAAAAAAACTCTTTCTCTCATATATAAGTATCTACTTGAGAAAACAACTTCAGTATAAATACTTTCATACTTTTATTCATATAATATATATATATATTTATCAAATTTTAATTAAAACGAAACTATTTGATTTATTACAAATTCACTATTTAAAACGTGTTGAGCTACCATAAAAACGCAGACGGAAAAAAGCAAGTGTACAAGTGTCCAGAATATTTCTATACAATTCACTCTCCTAATCATTGTTATTGTTATATACGAAAAAAAGATAGAACAATACATGAAAAAAAAACAATTAAATATGATGTCATTTTTTGATAACCATTATTATAAAAATAAGGTGAATTTTGATTTGAATATGCATTATTATTATTATTATTATTATTTAATTCTCGATTTTGTTGATACCACGTATTACCAGGATTAAAATTATATGGATTATTATTATTATTATTATTCATATTTGGCCATACATTATTATTGCTACTCATACCCATTTGTCCACTACCAGTATTAGTGTTTGGATATGAATTACTATTAAAACCATATGGATTATTATTTGTATTTGATGGTACATTATAAAGATCTTTATTATTTAACATTTGATTTGTATTTGCTTGATAACCTGTTTGAGAATTTGATGAAGGATATAATGAAGAACCAACTGATCCTGTAGATATTTTAAAAAAAAGATATGATAATATACCGAAAAATTTATTCATTGTTTTTTTTTTGCAATTAACCTGCTGGTAAAAGATTACTATTACTGTCACGCATTCCCATATTAACATTTGGATCACGTAAGAGTTGATTTGTTCCACTACCTGGATAAAGACCACTTGTACCATATGATGGATTTGGTATGGCTTGACCACTTGGTCCATATAACGATTGTTGTTGTTGTTGTTGTTGCTGCTGTTGTTGTTGTTGATTATATAAACCGATATTATTCAATGAACCACCAGCATTCGATGGTAAAATCGGATTACCATATAAATCTTTTGAGCCTTGATTATTTAAATTTGTACCATAGAAATTTGTATTCGATGGATAATTATATCCTGCTGGTGAATTTGCACCTAAATTAGAATTGCCATATATTGATCCAGATGGTTGTTGACGACGACGACGACGAATAGCATTACCATTGATACCTAAAATTGAAAAAAAAAACACTTGTTTTAGTTTGTCTTCAAGCAAGTATAAAATTTAAAGTGTTTGAATAAAAAAAATAAAAACTTACTGCTAATAAATAATGTTTGTAGACATAATGATACGATGATTATTTGAAACCAATACATAATATATTATTTTGAATGATAATAATAATTTACAGTGAAAATTTATAGTTTACAATTGGTTTTAGCTTGGTACAAACGTCGATGATGAGGTGACATACAATGAGAGGTCAGCTAGACGGTAGCTCTAGTCTCTTTTTTTTCTCGTTCTTTTTTAGGTGACACTGTGTGTACGTGGTAGGTCTATGTTCGTCGATGAACGAAAATTTTTCTTTTTAGTCCTTCTGTCTCAGTTAGATGTGAGACATATAAAACAACGTTTTTTTTTCTTTTTCCTTCTTTCTTTTCTTGTTCTGTACATAGCTGCTAGATACATCCTATCCCCCTCTATTTACTGTTGTCAATCTCTCTCCAAGGGGGGCATAAGTAAAGAACGAGCAATAGATGTAATAAATATAATCATGTTGATTCTGTTTGTCTGTTCATTTGTCGTCGCCCCTATTCGATTTACTTCTCTCTCTCTCTCTTTCTCTTTTTTTCATGTATATTGACTGGAATTTTCTTTTTCTTCTTCGTCTCTCGATCTATGTAAAAGAACAAAGTTCGATTGTATTGAATCATTACTTTCTCTTAAACAGATGACCGTTCTATAGAGGTGAGAAAGAGAGAAGTTTTTCTTCTTTCTGTTAATGATGTGAAAAAAAGAAACTTTACTTCAGTATTAATAATCATAAAAAAAGCATGCTATTACAAGAGTCTTTTTTTTATGGTATTTGACAATAAATAAAATTATTATGAAATAATCAAGTCAATATAGATGAATTTCATTGACACCTTTTTTAACATAATACCTCGAATTTTCTCTAATATATGTATATATGTTCAGTGATGATACAAGAATTTTAAATCAAGTCAATACTTATTAAAACAGCTTGAATTTAATTTAAGAAAAAAAAGAAAGAACTTTTACAAAAAAATGATAAGCAAATAGATAGCAATCTTAGTAGTTTTTGGTGCACATAGCATTATTTGAATAAAATCAAGTTTTGTAAATACAAATAAAATATGTTCATGAATATGAAGGTGAAAGTATTGTGTGCAAGGATGATATTGATATGCCGTAAAGTTTCTTAGTTACCCTTGGAATCACCATTGAAGGGCTTGTTGACCGGTAAGGATGGATTAGGTCCAACAGCATTGCCATCTCCTTTAGCATCTGTAGCACCACCCGATCGTCCTTGAGCGCCACCAGTTTTTGATGCTCGATACCAAGGATTTCCTACATTCAGCAAAACAATTTGTATCTTTCATATTTTATATTGAATATTATTACCGTAATTGGAAGAACCATACGGATTAGTCATGCCTGAATTTCCATAACCGTATTGGCTATTATAGCCCTGACTTCCATAACCGTATGGGCTATTATAGCCCTGACTTCCATAACCATATGTTCCATATTGTCCACTACCATAAGTACCACCCATGCTTGGATAGTTATAGTTTGATCCGTATTGATATGGATTACTAGAGCCATATGCTAAGATTAAAAAAAAGATGTTGTATTCAAACATAAAACAAAGATAAAATCACAAAATTATTTACGGTTATTGTATGTATTGTACGGATATCCTTGACCATATGTACTACCATACGGACTCATACCAGTACCATACGGACTCATACCAGTACCATACGG